CCCGGGATCGGTTTCGCCCCCATCATCAGAGCAACACCCCCCCGATAATTAGCCCCAAATCATTAGCCCGGGGGTGCTTCTCATTAGCGCAGCCTCAGGCCCCCACCCCATCATTAGCCCAGGCGTCTCCCTCATTAGCCCAGCCCCCCCCGCGGTAGCCCAGGGCTGCCGCTCGCTAGCCCAGCTCTCTCGGATTAGCCCCCCCCCCCCATAATTAGCCAGGGGGTGCCCGTCATTAGCCCAGCCCCCTCCCCGGCTCAGCCCCTCCCTCCCCCATCACAGCCCGCCCCTCCCCCCCCGGTGGACAAAGGCTCTTTGTGCCTCCGGAGCGGCCGGGCCGGGCCTGGCGTGGGGCTGCCACGGACACACGGACACACGGACACACTGACCAATACACTGACCAGCCACCCACGGACACACGGACACACGGACACACTGACCAACACACTGACCATCCACCCACGGACACACGGACACACTGACCAACACACTGACCATCCACCCACGGACACACGGACACACGGGCACGCGGACACACTGACCAACACACTGACTGGCCACCCACGGACACACGGACACACTGACCGGCCACCCACGGACACACGGACACACGGGCACGCGGACACACTGACCAACACACTGACTGGCCACCCACGGACACACGGACACACGGGCACGCGGACACACTGACCAACACACTGACTGGCCACCCACGGACACACGGACACACGGGCACGCGGACACACTGACCAACACACTGACTGGCCACCCACGGACACACGGACACACGGGCACGCGGACACACTGACCAACACACTGACTGGCCACCCACGGACACACGGACACACGGACCGGCCACCCACAGACCCACGGACACACTGACCAGCCACCCACGGACACACTGACCATCCACGCACGGACACACGGACACACTGACCGGCCACCCACGGACACACGGACACACGGACAGTCGCACACACCCCACGGTCCCCAGGCCCCCACGCGTGACCCCGCACGGGGATGCTCAGGGTGGGGATGAGGAGGGGTCTCATCCCCAGGACCCCCGTGCGTGGGTGGGGGCTGCCGTGACCCCGGGGCCTTGGCGGGACCCCCCGGTTCCCCCCGGGACCCTCCCGGTAACGGTGTAGCCCCAGGGACTCCCCGGTGCCCGCGGGGGGGACCCTGCCCGGACCCTCCGGGACCCCCCTTGGAGGTTCCAGTGCCGAGGGGACCCCGCCGAGACCCCCGGTGTCCCCGGTGGGACCCCAAGTGACGGTGCCGGTGACTGGACATCACCACCGGGACCCTCCGGTGACCCCGCCGGGACCCCCAGAGCCAATGCCTCGACATCACCACCGGGACCCCCAGCGCCGGTGCCGGTGCCGGGGGGACCCCGCCGAGACCACCGGTGCCCCCGCCGGGACCCCCAGCGCCGGTGTCGGTGCCCGGGAGACCCTTTCCGAGCCCCCGGTGCCCCCGCCGAGACCCCCATTGCCGGTCCCCATGCCCGCACACCCCCCTATCCCCCCCGGTGCCCCCACGGGGACCCCCATTGCGGTGCCGGTGCCCGCGGGCGGGGTCCCCCAGCCTCCCCCCGTGCCCGGTAACGTGACCCGGTGCCGGCCGGCTCCTTTTCCACCCCATTAACCCCCGGCCCGCCCCCGGCGGCTCCTCCCCGCCCCGGGCCCCCCCGGTTCCGCGGGGGGGGGGTGCCCGTCCCGCCGCCGCGGCCCCGCCGAGCCATAAAGCCCATGGGGAGCCGGCCGGGCTGAGCACGGCGGGACCCGCGACCCCCCCAGCAAGGTAAGGGCGGCCGGGGGGGTCCCCGGGGGTCCCCCGTCCCCTCCCGGGGGGTCCCGAGGGCGGCGGGCACCGGCCGGTGGCGCTGGGATGGCACCGGCACTGCAGAGGGGAGCCCCGTGACCCCTTGTGCCCCCCACGGTGGCACCGCAGCCCCGATGTCCCCACATCCCCGTGTCGCCATCACCCGTGACTCCGTGAGGCCACGTCCCCGTGTCCCTGTGTCCACCCGTCGCTGGGTCCCCAAATGGCCGTGTCCCCAAGTCCCTCATGCCCACGTCCCCAAATCCTTGCGTCCCACATTCCTACATCCTCGTTTCTGTGCATCCCCGTGTCCCCATGTCCTGATGTCCCCGTGTCACGTACCGCCACGTCCCTGTGTCCCTGTATCCCCATATTCCCATATCCCAGTGTCCCCATGTCCCCACAACCCCATGTCCCCATGTCACATACTGCCATGCCCCTGTATCCCCATATTCCCATATCCCAGTGTCCCCATGTCCCCACACCCCCATATTCCCATGTCCCCATATTCCCCTATCCCAGTGTTCCCATGTCCCCATGTTCCCATGTCACGTACCGCCACGTCCCTGTGTCCCTGTATCCCCATATTCCCATATCCCAGTGTCCCCATGTCCCCACCCCCCCATGTCCCCATGTCACGTACCGCCATGTCCCTGTGTCCCTGTATCCCCATGGCCCCCTGTCCCTGTGTCCCTGGGATATGGGATATGGATTCCCACATATCCCAGTGTCCCCATATTCCCACGTCCCCAAGTCCCTGTGCCCCACAGCGATGTGTCCCCATGTCCCCACGCCCTCAGATCCTGTGTTCCTCTCCCATGTCCCCAACACGCTGTGCCCCACATTCCCACGTCCCCATGTCACATATCCCCATGTCCTCTGTCCCCACGGCCCTTGTCTCTATATCCCATGTCCCTGTGTCCCCATATCCCCCATCCCCATGTCCCTGATTCCCTGTGTCCCCCACCCCTCTATCCCCATGTCCCCGTGTCCCCTGTGCCCCATGTCCCCATGTCACAGGCCCCAGGTCCTACGTCCCCAAGGCCCCTGTCCCTTTATCCCCATGTCCCAGGTGTGGGTTATCCTGGAATGTTGGTTATCCCAGCCGTGGGTTATCCCAGAATTTGGGTTATCCCAGGATTTGAATTATCCCAGGTGTGGGTTATCCTGGAATTTGGGTTATCCCAGGATGTTGGTTATCCCAGCTGTGTGTTATCCTGGAATTTGAATTATCCCAGGTGTGGGTTATCCTGGAATTTGGGTTATCCCAGGATGTTGGTTATCCCAGGTGTGGGTTATCCCAGAATTTGAATTATCCCAGCTGTGGGTTATCCTGGAATTTGGGTTATCCCAGGATGCAGGTTATCCCAGTATTTGGGTTATCCCCTGTGTAGGTTATTCCAAGTGTCCCAGGTGTGGATTATCCCAGAATTTGAGTTATCTCAGGTGTGGGTTATCCTGGGATGCGGGTTATTCCAAGTGAGGTTTATCCTGGGATGTGGGTTATCCCGGGATGTAGGTTATCCCAGGTGTGAGTTATCCCAGGTGTGGGTTATCCCATGCATGGGTTATTCCAGCTGCGGGTTATCCTGGAATTTGTGATGTCCTGGATGTGGGTTATCCCAGGTGTGGGTTATCCCAGGTGTGAGTTATCCTAGGTGTGAGTTATCCTGGGTGTGGGTTATCCCAGGAGTGGGTTATCCCAGGTGTGGGTTATCCCAGGAGTGAGTTATCCTGGGTGTGGATTACCTCAAATGTGGGTTATCCCAGGTGTGGGTTATCCCAGGTGTGGGTTATCCCATGCATGGGTTATTCCAGCTGCAGGTTATCCTGGAATTTGTGTTGTCCTGGATGTAGACTATCCCAGGTGTGGGTTATCCCAGGTGTGGGTTATCCCAGGTGTGAGTTATCCTAGGTGTGAGTTATCCTGGGTGTGGGTTATCCCAGGAGTGGGTTATCCCAGGTGTGGGTTATCCCAGGAGTGAGTTATCCTGGGTGTGGATTACCTCAAATGTGGGTTATCCCAGGTGTGGGTTATTCTGGGTGTGGGTTATCCCAGGAGTGGGTTATCCCGGGTGTGAGTTATCCCAGGTGTGGATTACCTCAAATGTGAATTATCCCAGGTGTGGGTTATCCCAGGTGTGAGTTATCCCAAGTGTGGATTATCCCAGGTGTGCGTTATCCGGGGTGTGCGTTATCCCGGGTGTGAATTATCCCGGATGTGTCCTAAGGCTCCATTTTGGGGTGCCCCAATGCTGTGAGGGGGATCCTGGGACCCCCATCCTGGCCTTGGTCATGCTGGGGGGCACCGCCAGGACCCCCGTGGTCACCGTGGGGAGGGGGGACATCCCCCAGGACCCCCAGTGGGGACATGGAGGGGACAGGGGTCCCCCAGGACACACAGTGGGGCCGGAGTGGGGGCCTGGGACCCTCATGGTGGCACTGACAGCGGCAGGGGACCCTGGGACAGTGACAGTGACAGGGACCTCTGTGACCCACACTGGGGGGGGTGATGGGGGTCCCTGTGCCCCCGTGGGGGCCATGGCAGTGTCAGGGGAGCCCTGTGGTGACAGTGACAGTGATGATGGGGGTCCCTGTGCCCCCTTGGTGGCAGTGGGGGTCCCTGTGCCCCCTTGCTGACAGTGACAGTAACGATGGGATGCCCCCTTGGTGGCAGTGGGGTCTCTGTGGTGGCCCTGCTGGTGTTGGGGGCACCCTGGGGCCCCTGCGCTGGCAGTGGGGGTGACAGTGGGGGTCCCTGTGCCCCCCTTGGTGACAGTGCCATTAACCATGGGCATCCCTGTGTCCCCTCAGTGGCCCTGGCGGTGTTGTGGGCCCCCCCTTGGTGACAGTGGCATTAATGATGGGGGTCCCTGCGTCCCCTCGGCGGCACTGACAGTGACAGTGGGGGCGTCCCTGTGTCCCGTGGCAGTGGGAGGGGTCCCTATGTCCCCTCGGTGGCACTGACAGTGACAATGGGAGGGTCCCTGTGTCCCTTCTGTGGCAGTGCGGGGGTCCCTGTGTCCCCTCGGGTGGCACTGGGGGTCCCTGTATCCCCTCGGTGGCACTGACAGTGACAGTGGGGGGGTCCCTGTGTCCCCTCGGGTGGCACTGGGGGTCCCTGTGCCCCCTCTGTGGCACTGACAGTGACACTGGGGGGGTCCCTGTGTCCCCTCGGCGGCACTGGGGGTCCCTGTGCCCCCTCTGTGGCACTGACAGTGACAGTGCGGGGGTCCCTGTGTCCCCTCGGCCGCCCTGGCGGTGTCGCGGGCCCCCCGGGACCCCCGCGCTGGCGGTGGCGGGCGCGCGGGGCTCTGCATCTTAACGAGGGCTCCGTCAAAGCGCCTTTGTCCCCCCGCCAGCCCCATTGAAACCTCGGCTCCGGCCGCACAATGGCCCCACTGTCCCTGTCCCCGTCCCTGTCCCCCGTCCCTGTCCCTGTCCCCTGGGTCAGGAGCCTAAAGAAGGGGGGGCAGGGCCCCAAAGAGGGGAGCAGGGGTGTGCAGAGACCCCCAAAGCAGGGGGTGAGGACACGGTGGCTTTGGGGACACGGTGGCTTTGGGGACATGGGGGCGCCGTTAGGGGGCACAGCGACTCCAGGGATATGGGGGACCCTGGGCACCCCAGGAACTTGAGGGCACAGTGTGGCTTTGGGGACATGGGGGGCTCTGGGGACACGGGGGCTCTGGGGACCCCCAGCAGCTCCAGGACACGCGGTGGTTTTGGGGACACGCAGTGGCCCTGGGGACACAGCGGCTCTGTGGGGACACGGTGGCTCCAGGGACCCCCAGAGCCCATCTGGGAAGGAGCAGCTCCGTGTCCCCTCTTTGGGGACACCGATGTCCCCTCTGTCCCAACTGCCACCGTCCCTTCCAGGACATTTCTCTGGCGCAGCCACGACAGTGGCAGTGCCACTCGTGTCCCCAGCCTTGGCCGGCGCGGGGACATCGGGCTCCAAGGAGACCCCCCGTGGTGCCAGCACCTCCCGGTGTCCCCGTGTCCCCGTGTCCCCGGCACGCTGCCCTTCCGCGGCGGAAACGGTGGCGGGGCCAGAGGCTGGCGGGGGCTGAAAGAGCCTTTTTTGGGATGGGGACACCGGGACACGGGGACACGGGGACACCGGGGAGGCGCCTGGCGCTGCCCCCGGCCATTTGTCCCTGTCACCTCCCATTCATCCCCTTCCTCTTCCTCCCGGACGCCAGGGACACTTCCAGGGCCACCACCGGAGCTGCCAGGGGACAGGGGGGGACACTGAGGGGACAAGGAGGGATTTGGGAATGGGGGGGGCAAGTGGAGGGATGGAGGGACATGGGGATGGACAGAGGGACATGGGGACGGACAGAGGGACATGGGGAGGGACAGAGGGACATGAGGAGGGACAGAGGGACATGAGGATGGACAGAGGGACATGGGGACAGACAGAGGGACATGGGGATGGACAGGGATCACCCCCTGGTTCCCCCCTGATGTCGTTCTCCTCCTGTCCCTCACATGTCCCCCTTGATCACCCCCCCACCTGTCCCTGTGTCCCCTTTGATGACCTCCTCACCTGTCCCTCCCGTGTCCCTCACCTGTCCCAGTGTCCCCTGCAGGTGCCCCTCTCCACCTGTCCCTCCAATGTCCCCGTGTCCCCGCAGAGGATTTCCTCCATTTGTCCCCCACCTGTCCCTCACCTGTCCCCGCAGATGACACTCTCCCTGTCCCTCAACTGTCCCTCACCTGTCCCGGTGTCCCCACAGATGACATTCTCTCCCTGTCCCTCCCCTGTCCCTCACCTGTCCCCATGTCCCTCAAGATGATTCCCCCCACCTGTCCCTCACATGTCCCCGTTGAGCACTCCCTCTGCCTGTCCCTGTGTCCCCTTTGATGACCCCGTCACCTGTCCCTCCCCAGTCCCTGCCCTGTCCCTCACCTGTCCTTGTGTCCCCACAGATGACATTCTCCACCTGACCTCCCCTGTTCCCATGTCCCCACAGATGACATTCTCTCCCTGTCCCTCAACTGTCCCTCATCTGTCCTGGTGTCCCCACAGATGACATTCTCCACCTGACCCTCCCCTGTCCCCGTGTCCCCGCAGATGACATTCTCCCCTGTCCCTCCCCTGTCCTGGTGTCCCCACAGATGACATTCTCTCCCTGTCCCTCACGTGTCCCCGTGTCCCCACAGATGACATTCTCCCCCTGTCCTTCCCCTGTCCCTCACGCGTCCCCATGTCCCCGCAGATGACGTCCTCCACCAAGGTGTACTACAGCCAGACCACGCAGACCGACAGCCGCCCGCTGATGGGGCCGGGGCTGCGGCGGCGCCGCGTGCTGACCAAGGACGGCCGCAGCAACGTGCGCATGGAGCACATCTCGGACAAGCGCTTCCTGTACCTCAAGGACCTGTGGACCACCTTCATCGACCTCCAGTGGCGCTACAAGCTCCTGCTCTTCTCCGCCACCTTCGCCGGCACCTGGTTCGCCTTCGGCGTGGTGTGGTACCTGGTGGCCGCGGCGCACGGCGACCTGCTGGAGTTCGAGCCGCCCGCCAACCACACGCCGTGCGTGATGCAGGTGCACACGCTGACCGGCGCCTTCCTCTTCTCCCTGGAGTCGCAGACCACCATCGGCTACGGCTTCCGCTACATCAGCGAGGAGTGCCCGCTGGCCATCGTGCTGCTCATCACCCAGCTGGTGCTCACCACCATCCTGGAGATCTTCATCACCGGCACCTTCCTGGCCAAGATCGCGCGGCCCAAGAAGCGCGCCGAGACCATCAAGTTCAGCCAGAACGCGGTGGTGGCGCAGCACGACGGCAAGACCTGCCTGATGATCCGCGTGGCCAACATGAGGAAGAGCCTCCTGATCGGCTGCCAGGTCACCGGCAAGCTGCTGCAGACCCACCTCACCAAGGAGGGCGAGAGCGTCCGGCTCAACCAGCTCAACGTGGACTTCCAGGTGGACACGTCCTCGGACAGCCCCTTCCTCATCCTGCCGCTGACCTTCTACCATGTGGTGGACGAGGCCAGCCCGCTGCGGGACGTGTCCCTGCGCTCGGGGGACGGCGACTTCGAGCTGGTGGTCATCCTGAGCGGCACCGTGGAGTCCACCAGCGCCACGTGCCAGGTGCGCACGTCCTACCTGCCCGAGGAGATCCTGTGGGGCTACGAGTTCACGCCGGCCATCTCGCTGTCGGCCAGCGGCAAGTACGTGGCCGACTTCAGCCTCTTCGACCGCGTGGTCAAGGTGGCGGCGCCCTGCTGTCACCACGAGGCCGTGCGGTTCGGGGACCCCGAGAAGGTCAAGCTGGAGGAGTCGCTGCGGGAGGCGGAGCGGGAGGGGGAGGGGGCCCCGCTCAGCGTCCGCATCAGCAACGTCTGAGGGGGGACAGAGAGGTGACGTCGGCGCCGGGGTGGTGGCACCAGGGCGAGGGGTGGCCCCCAGGTGGCACCGGGGCGAGGGGGTGGTGGTGGATGGTGGAGGTGTCGCCGTGTCTGGAGGTATCGCCAGGTTCAAGGGGACAGCAACATCTGGGGGTGTCACCAGCCTCAAAGGGACATCAACATCTGGGGGTGTCAACGGATTCAAGGGGACACCAACATCTGGGGGTGTCACCAGCCCTAAAGGGACACAAACAATTGGAAGTGTCACCAGTGCTGGAGGTGCCACCAGCCCCAAAGGGACACCAACATCTGGGGGTGTCACCAGCCCCAAAGGGACATCAACATCTGGAGGTGTCAATGGATTCAAGGGGACACCAACATCTGGGGGTGTCACCAGCCCCAAAGGGACATCAACATCTGGGGGTGTCACCAGATTCAAGGGGACACCAACATCTGGAGGTGCCACCAGCCCTGGAGGTGTCATCAAGTCTGGAGGTGTCACCAATGCCTGGAGGTCTCACCAGCCTCAGAGTGTCACCAGATCTGGAAGTGTCACCAGTCCTGAAGGTGCCACCAGCCCCAGACTGTCACCAGCACCTGGAGGTGTCGCCAGCCTCAGAGTGTCACCAAGTCTGGATGTGTCACCAGCCCCAAGGGGACACACATAGCTGGAGCTGCCACCAGTCCCAAAGCGTCACCAACCCCTGGAGGTGTCACCAACATCTGGAGGTGCCACCAGTCCCAAAGTGACACCAGTGTCTGGAGGCATCACCAATGCTTGAAGGTGACATCAGCCCAGACGTGACACCAATCCCAAGATGCCACCAATGCCTGGACCACTGGAGGTGCCACCACCAACATCTGGAAGTGCCACCAGCCCCAAAGTGCCACCAACACCCAGAAGAGCCACCAGCCAAGACTCCACCAATGCCTGGAGGTGTCACCAAGCCCTGGAGGTGCCACCAGCCCCAAAGTGCCACCAAGCCCTGGAGGTGACACCAGCCCCAAAGTGCCACCAAGCCCTGGAGGTGACACCAGCCCCAAAGTGCCACCAAGCCCTGGAGGTGCCACAAGCCCTAAGATGGCACCAGTCCCCGGAGGTGACACCAGTCCCCGGTGCCCCAAAGTGCCACCAACCCCTGGAGGTGACACCAGCCCCGAAGTGCCACCAACGCCTAGAATTGCCACCAACCCCTGGAGGTGCCACCACCCCTGAAGTGTCACCAACCCCTGGAGGTGCCACCACCCCTGAAGTGTCACCAACCCCTGGAGGTGCCACCACCCCTGAAGTGCAGGAGTTCAATAAAGGTGACGTCGATGGTGGGGGGTGTCCCCGATGTCCCCACTGTGTCACACGATGGCCCCTCAGCCCAAGGGACCCCCCCGAAGTCCCCAGGGGTCCCAAATGTCCCCCCCAGGGTCCTCCTAAACCTCCTCCAATGTCCCCAATGTCACCTCAGCCCCCAGGGACCCCCCCAATGTCCCCAGGGGTCCCAAATGCCCCCCAAAAGGGGCCCCCAATACCACCAGGGACACCCCCAATGTCCCCAGAATGTCCCCAAGGACCCCCCAAATGTCCTCAAGGACCCCCTCAAAATGTCCCCCAGGGTGCTGGCGCCCTCCATGTCCCCAGGGACCTCCCAGTGTCCCTTTAATGTCCCCTCCAATGTCCCCAGTGTCACCCCCAATGTCCCCAGGTCCCCCCCAGTGTCACCCCCAATGTCCCCAGTGTCACCCCCAATGTCCCCAGGTCCCCCCCAGTGTCACCAGGCCAGGTAAAGGACACAGGTTTATTTCCAGTACCCCCCCCCACGCTCCCAGTACAGGGGGGCCACTGGGACCAGTGGGACACTGGTGGTGTCCCCAGGTGGTGGCACCAGCCCCGCCCCCTCCCAGAGCCCCCCCGGGGGACAGAGAGGGGACAGGGGGGGACAACGGGGGG